GCATCTCCAAATCTCTTTCTTTGATTTATTTTAACGACTTTTATATAAGACGCTTCTGCCAGGGCGGCACTAAGCAATTTGCACAGCGAGAAAAAATTATGGCTTCCCCCTTGTAAGCCCTCATAATTGTCCAGCTCAACACTTTTACTTTCCCAGCCACAGCAGCAGAAAAGAAAAAGCCATAAGAGATAAATTTAAAGGGCCAAACAGGTTTGCACCCATATGATTTTGGCATCGGGGCGGTCGGGGATCGGGGATCTATCGAAGTTGAGACCCAAACTCGTGTCGCACTTAATGATTTTCGATCATTAAAGAAAAAATTGCTTTGAATGGAGGGGCCAAAGAAAAATCAAACACAGTCGCACGAACCTGCGCAACATAAAAATCAATTTATAGGTCAAGTTGAGCGCAGCGAACAGGGGGATCAAAAGAAACAGAGGTAGGTACGCCTGTGTATCTGTATCTGTATCTGCAACTGGCTTTCGGAGCTAACATTCAGGTTCAGAGCGCGACTTTTACTCCAGCAGCATCTTGTCTAATATGACAAGGCGATGATGCAACACCCATGGACCGCCGCACATCGACGAACGATTGGTTGAATGCGTAAACAAATCTTCGGTAAATGGAAAGCCATAAAGGAAAACACCACAAACAAGAAATAGAAAAATAATAAGGCAATAAAAACGGCCGTAAAACACCGATTACGACCCAGTGATCGATTCCCGGCTGTTGTGGGTCAAGTTGAAAATGCAGCGAGCGTTTTTTAACTCTCAATCGAATTCCCAGTTGCGCGCGACTTGCACGCGATCGAAATCGCAGGCGATTTCCCAACTGCAGCAACATGTGCAGCAAATGCACTTGCCACACCAACAACACTTGATATATGCGGGCCTGTGTCCATCCGCATTGGTGTGTGTTTCGCCAGAGAAGACCTGACTTCGGCCACTCTTAAAAGCAGCTAAATCGCCTTAATTTGGCAATCGAGTTTGGATGTCGTTCTTGCCAGCCAGCCGCCAGCTTGTCGTTAGCCCCAAATCCCCGGTAATTAGTGCAAGACATTTTTTTTCCGAGTGTACATATGTATGTTGTCGCTTCGGTGCTGCTGTGCTGCCCCGAGGAAGTCTTGTTGTTGCTCTCGGGGGCGGCTGACTCCGCTCACTGAATGCAGCAGCGTTTCAAGTTGCAAGTTGTTGAAATTTACACAGAAAGAAATCAGTGGCTCTTTTATATATAATTTGTAAATTTTAAAAAAACTGTGACTTTTAGTGACACTAATTTGTTTTCATGTTTATATTAAATAAACAATCAGATCAACAGTCAAACAAAAATTGAGGTCATGGCAAATGTTTTATTAATTAAGTCAGCTGTCTAAAAATCTAAAATCACTAGATTTAGAAATTGAAAAGTGGAACACTCTTGTTTTAATTAAGTTGTAATAGTTCAATGTCATATTTAGGTCAATTCTTAAAAAAATGTATTGTCAAGAAAACAAAAAAAGTGTATTAGAGTTTGAAGATGATTTTTTATAACCAGAACTGTAGCCCCAAAGGATTAATATATTGACGACAATAATGATAAGTAAAAGATCCAAACTGTTTTATATTTATAAATTTATTTTTAATGCAATAAAAAAAATGTAGGAGTTTAAATTGAAAAATCTTCATTCAATTTGAGGAGCAATGAAGTAAAGTTATTTTGGGTAAAAACAAAACCCATTTGCAATCGAATTTATTTGACGTAATTCTAAAATTATTCTCATTTAAATATTGACACTGGTTTCGCTTATATCAGCGGTTGAATGGCTGGCCGCAAAACCACTTTTGTTTTTCAACCGATGACAGCGTAATTTTTTGGCAGGTATCTTAAAAAAATAATGGGCTCAATCAACCTTTTTACGCATTGCCAAGGTATCGAGTACTTTATTTCACTTAGTTTTGTGAAAGTGCCCATATTAGCATTATAAAATTCCTAGTTGGTTCCCAATTTTTTTCGGTGTAGAGCAGTATTTGCGGCAACTAAAATTTCAGGTAATAGTCAAGTGCACAGCTGCAAATACTCCACAAGTTGGCTTAATGTGCGTAAGTGTAAGTGAGTTCCCCAAACGCCATTTGAAAGCCTCGATTCGTATATTTTAGCTGATTCATTCTATATTGCGTCCGTCGGTCGGCGAATGTTGATTTTTTTGTAAATGTATGTGGCGTTAATGCTACCAGTCAGGTTAGGCGTTTGCATTAAAAATGGTACCTTACCATCCGGATTCGGGTATTTAATATACAATTCCGACTTGAGTGACGAACTTTGGTTTTCGTCCCTGCTGCCATTTCCCTGATTAAAGTTCCCTGCCCTCAATCCCGTAAATCACTAGTAATACAATTAAACAAGCAATGACTTTTAGCTGCTCAATCGTTTTACATTCACGTATCAGGTTTTTTCTGTCTACTAATTTAAATTTTGTTTTCGCCCCGCAATGTTGATTATTTAATTACGTTTAATTACGGATTAAATGTGTTGAAAATATTTCACCGGCAATTGAGTATGCCCCTTTAAAATTAAATCGATTCATAAATATATTTTCATAACCAACTGACTGTAAACAATAACTGCATTTAAATTTAAATCATTGCAAATTGATTCCCAGAGGTCTTCTAAGTTCCAATGTAAAAGGGATTGTTAGGGCTTTTGTAATTGATTGCCAAAAACGTTCTTAAATAAGGCACAGAAAAAGCAACCTTGAATTGAGTAAGCTAATTATCCGCCCAAGTCCCACGTGAAGTAGCACTAATGTAAATCAGTTGAACCACGAAATCGTTATATTTAGACAGCTGACCTACAAATAAATTTAACTTATACAAACGTATTCATTCCGTCGACCCAATTAAATGCGACAAAAATGTATAAATTATTATTTTTGTGCGAAATGGAGAGTTTGGAAGAGTTGCAAAAAACCACTTAAAAAGCTGTAAAATATGCCAGCCAGTGTGTTGGAATGAAGATTTAAGATCTGTTATTTTTAGTGTTTTTTAACACCTTTGCCGGCGTATCTTGTCTAATCTCAAACGGGCAATAACTGATTTCCAAATGACACTTACTTCAATCACTGGCCGATAAGAGTCCATAAACATCGTCATTCTCTCTGTTTTAGGGTCTCTTAACTTGTATCTACGGGGCCTTCTGCTCTTCGCTTGCGTTATCAGTTTTCAACGGGGAGAGCTTTAGACTATGTTTAAAAACACAACAACAAAAAAATGAAAAACACGCTGAGACACACACGCACTTTTCTCAATGTTGGCCAATAAACCTTTGGCCAAATGGCATATTAGCAGCTGAAGTGGACGAAAGGCAGCCAGCTACTCAGCTGAGAAAATCGCGCATACGCCGCGTGGTGCCAAACAAATCGAAGTGGAGCAGCACTGCACTGCCATCGCAGTCACATGCGGCAGCCTTATCGCACTCACACTTCACCAGCTGCCCATCGAGTTGTATTTACTACAGGTGTGCTCTCCCTACACTTTTGTATCGTATTATTTTTATTCTCTTACCAAAAACAGCTGAGTGCCGAGCGGCAGTCAACAATAAAGCAACGTCAACGACGCCAACTGGCTCTCGAATGTGGCTAACTGGCCCACAGGGACTGCAAGCAAATCGGCTGATTAAAGCGCATTTTTATTATGATCACTCGGCGGGGGCTGCTGGGTGGTTGGTAGTGGCCCAAACCAACGGCCAAACAAACCAACAGCCAACTAACCCGCTGGCCTAGTAAAATTCGCCGCCAGCGTGTTTGCACTTTTCAGTGTCAAAAGAGGCAACACAAAAATGCGGCAAGAGTCCCAGTCGAAAATAAAATCAAGGTGTAATAATTATTGAGTAAGAGGCTAAAAAGGAGAAGAAAACAACTCGAAGATTTGAATAAGTTTCGATTTCTGGGTTGCCTGTTTTTTTTTTTCGTTGGGATTTTGTGAAATGGTGCAATGCCAGTGATCATTAGCCAGCGGCAGCGGCGATTGGTTAACCCTTGGGGATTTTTTTTTTCTCGAATTTGCAGAGCTGGCGCTGAATGAATATGAAAATCACTGGATTTCTACACCCAGCAGCATCTGCAATGATGGGCAGAAAGCATAAGTAAGGCGAAAGGCACAAAGCGGTTGGCCTGGCCCTGAGAGGCTATCATTTCACTTGCGATCGCAGATCACCAGTTATCCCATGTCCCCATATCCCCGTTCGAGATTCAAGGTCAGCGCTGCACTGCATTTCCGTGTGAAAAGTTGTTGGGCCAGCTCGGGAGCTGGTCAAAACCAAAAGCCAGCCTTCACTTCACTTGACCGCCAGCCAGCGATGTTGCTGTTGCTGGCGTGCCGTTGGTGTTGCTGCCGTGCTGTTGCTGCTGCTGCTGCTGTTGCTGTTTCTGATGTTTTGTTACGTCGAAATAAGTGCAGCACTTGCAGTTTCTGTGTGCAATTTTCGCGAAACTCAAGTGCGAATGGCTCTAGCAAAACAGAAAACGCTCACGTTTTGGGGCAGAAAGCGGGGGAAAAGCGTCGAAAGGTCTGCGCGGAGTCGGCAAAATTGCATTTGAGAAAGACATTGAAAGACCTTGTTGGCGAATGTGTACTTGAGAATGGAAACCAGTTGCTGGCGTTCGGTTTTTTCCATTTCCAAAGAAAGCCAAAAAGAACTAGGAATGGCTTATAATGGTTCCTCCGATGAATATCTTGCTCAATTAACGGCTGCATTGCGAATACTCATCGCAGGGGGTTGGGTTTTATTTTGTATTAATATTTCGCTTAATAACAGCACACACAAGTCGTGTGCAAAGGGTCATTTGTGGGATTGATGGAAAGCCCAAGTGAAGCGTAGGCACATATATTCATTCAGGCTTGCATGTTGGGGGTCGGCAGCGAAATTACTGGTTGGCAAGCCATTTTAATGAAGGAGGATTTCGGTTGCATCAATTTTCCATTGAGTCACACTCACACTTTGCGATCGGGAACCCCCTTACTTACCATTTTTCTATTAAATTCGCTGTTTTCAGGCACTAGAAGTCGGTTTATCTTGCGATTAATACCAGGGAACGTATTGGGTATATATTCACTTGGCTAATTTACAGAGATTCTCTCAACTTTGGCATACGATTTATCACTTTTCAGCGCACTATCCTAGTTCGCTTTGGCGGAGACTTTCAGAGTATATTATTTTTACACACGCACACACAGTTCGACCATCGTTATGGGGTTTCTTATGGTCTCCACATCACTTTTAAGGGAACTGCTGCTGATGCTGCGGCGGCTGCGCTGCTGGACTTTACTGGACAACAACTGGACAGCGACTGGGCGAGCGTGCGCTTTTAACATTCAAATCGAAAACACTGAAATAAGTTTGATTTCACGCTGCCGCTTTACTTTTATACGGAGTTGGCGGTCCGTCGACGCCGGCGCAGCGTCGGCGCCGAGCGCTCATTTTCGGCGAGCGGCAGGTGAGCCGAGCTCAAAAGCTTTCGGCCGCGTTCTGAGCAACAGGTTGTGGTCATATGGGGGCTACTTGGCTCTCGCTCTGGCAGCCGGATAGTCTTTGGTAAGGATGCCAGAGCGAGAGCGCTCTAAAGCGACCCTTTGGAACCGCAGCGCACTGCTTGGCTCTCGGAATTCTGGGTATCGCACCTGCCTTTGCACCCACACCCAGGTGCGGCGCTAATTACCGTCAATCTAAATACCGCAACGGGACTTTTTTGCCCTATGGTTCAAAGTTCTGGCAGGTATATCCGTTAATTAACCCCTGGCCAGGCAGGGGCTTTCGCATCGGAAAAGTGTGCAAAAAATTATCATATTCACATTTGAATTGGGCAGAGAGAGGGCCGAGAAAAGGTCGCCAGCAACAAACCGAAGTCTTTGAATATAAATTCGGTCGAAAGCAGAGGAAGATGGGGCTGCTAAACCTGTTTGTCTCTTAGACTCTTGAATATTTATAATGTCCAAGATTCGGCTTTTCTCTGTTTGCCTTCGTGGTGTTTAATAAACGGCCAAAATGCGCTGTGAACTTGTGAAACAAACAAAGCTCCCGAGGGGTAAGATTGGGCAGGCGACCTGGCGTATACTTAATATATTAAATTATATTGGAGGACCTCGAAAAGTTACGTAGCCTATTTTTTGTGGGCTCAACAATTAGAACAAGGGTTACGGTGAGGATTGAACTTTGACAGCGGCTTGGGTCAATTATTTACTTACCCCCAATTAACGACCCTTACAATATACCATTTTAATTTACCTGCTAAAAGTCTCACCATTACCGCACAATTCCAGTGCGTTTTTCGACAAAAAACCCAAAGCAATGCAACCAAGCAAACATTTGCATTTCTCGTCTCAAAGTCCGCTGCATGGCCGCGGAGTACAAGATCTTTTTGCGGAATTCTAACCGAATAACACGTAACTGACCATGTAATCTAGCCGCGACAAATTAGCATGTGCAAACAGTTGGCGGGGGAGACGATGAATATGCATAACTGGTAGCCCTCTGCTGATCCCATCAAACAGATTCGACACACGCGTCTTCCATATTGGGGGAAATATGAACACAGTCTTCTCAAGGGCTTTTCTAGTGGCTGTATGACCAGCGGAAATGTTCCGATATACTGATCATGTTTGTGCTAGATGAGATGTTTATGCCTTATATGGAAAGTAAAGCTTGTCTTAGAACGGAATTGTTTTGGCAAATTTTCCAATGAATCTAAAATTTTCCATTCTATGATTCTTAAAATGGTGAGGCTGTCGTTGTTCAAGTCTTTGTTATTTATTGAGTTATTTAGTTAAGAACGCAGTCCACGTAAAAACATGTTGAAATGGAAGTCTTACCCACAAACATTTTTGTTTGCGTCATTAGTTTAGGTGCCTGCAGGCCACGCCCTATCGTTTGGTTGAACTAAAAAACGAGATAAATGAGCACTTTATAACCAAATAAGACCTTCAGTGTGAGCAAAAATTTACATACAAATTAAAATGTTAACCCAATCTTCAAAATATTCATAAATATAATAAACTTAATTAATGGAAGTGCACAATGATTTAAGTATGCTAATTTTTCCAAGTGCATTATGCACTCACAAAAAGTTGAAAGATCTTGGCTGAAACTCCCGATCAATTTAGCATGTTCCATTTAGCCGCCTTATGCTGACCATCGATCAGACCAAAATAAACAACCACTCGATGGCCGGAACCGCCTGGTTTTTTAGACTCTTCCGGCGCAGGAGTACAATGACTTTTTGCCGAGGCGCTTCCCAGCGTTTTGGGTTTTTGCGAGCACACGCGGCGTATGCTTAATGGCACAACCTTCGGCCCAGAAACATTGACTTCAATTCGAGGCTCAATCGGACGAGTCGGGTGACGATCGTAATGATGCCACGCAGATGGACCGCGTTCCATTTTGGCATCTGGTGGGTGTCGATCGCTGGCCAAAGCCATTGTTTATTGGGCAGAGCTTGGGAGTGTTTTTGTGACTCCGGTCCAGCTCTTTGTGGCGCTTGTTTTCGGACTCTCGTTAGTATTATTGGCCTTATCCGCGCTTGGCGATAATAAAAAACCCGAGTTCAAGGTTGCGCATCTCGAAAATTTACCGAAACGATTAAAGCACGTGAAGGAAATAGATTCTACATCGGACTTGGGCTAATGAGCACTTGGGAGGGAAGTATCATCATCTGGGAAAAGCTGCAGTTGATCCAAGTCCGAACCTGCAGTTGTGCAACCCCAGATGATTGATGCGTTGATTTCGCGGTGCCGGAGTCTCAAAAGCCCTCAAAGCCACAAAAGCTGCCGCCACGTAGGATTGCAACACCTGAGCACCGCGCAAAATTAATTTCCTAGAATCTAGAATACTTAAAAAATAATATATCGATTCTTTGTAATTTATATCTAAAATACTTTGTAACAAATATTTAAGTAGTGCTATTCAGGATTGCTATAAAATGAAGATACGATTAATCCATTTGTACTCTTTGTCTCTCAGTGTACAGACCATTGTTGTTTCTGCTGGTGCTTTTCTGATTATTAAATAACGGTTAAGTCAAGTGGCATTTTCTGATTCTGCAAATCATTCTCGCCTTTACATTATTGAGGAATTTTTGGTCTGAGGCAATGCAATCGAAAGTGTGAAATACCAAAGACAGGCAAGAATAATAAACCGATACTCGAGTCATTCTGCTGACACCCGCCCCCCAACGAACCCGTGATTATAACTCAAACCCGTTCAAGACCTGCCAATTTCGTTTTAGCACATGCACACAAATAGAGATGCCCGTACGTTTAGAAAAATATTGAAAACAATAAAGCATCGAATTAACACTGCGACTGGACTTCCCATTCAGCACCATTTCGACCGACAAGTTCCGACCAAATCGATCAGCGGCCAGCTCGATCACCTAAAAATCCAGAGAAGACTCAAACTGATGACGATGGCGAAGCTGGCGAAGATGCGGAGATGAAGATGGGGTTTAGTACGCATACAAAAACAAGAGAGACATTAGAAATTGCGCAAGGCGTTCGTGTTTGAACATTGATCGGCCATCGTGAAAATATATCAAGGTCAGCTAGTTGACACAGAAACCAAACGAATCAGCTAACTAACATTAATTGATGGATCTGTGCGTTCCAAGTCGGGCATTTCGTTGGCCCTCCAGCACGGGGAAATAATCTGCAATCCGGATTTGCATGTGAAGAGGCAGTAAATTTAAAATGAATTTAATTAAGCTGCATATTATATGCATTTTATTTATTATTTTCGATTTAACCAAACTCGTTTTCATTCACATGCAGAGTATGGCCGTAAAACATACGAATAACGGTGAATGAAATGCATTTACGATAATTAACGCACACTTTTATTATTTATGCGCAGTTTGATTGATTTGAATAGATAATTCGATTTGGGCGCGCAAGTGGCAACACTGCTCGTAGCTTTGGTTTGAGTCTGCGGTAAAAGCTATCAATTGATCGAGGCTTGCTGCTATCGAATCTTATACAACAATCGAATAATAACAATCGTTAGATGGATGTGTAGTGCCTCCTGACATGTTGGCACTTGTGGCCGTGCTGGCCTATACGGAAGGGACCCGCGATTGCATTACCGGAGTTAAACATTTATATGTATATGATTGATTTCATCTTTTTCTACAACTTATGACATTCAGGAGAATGCCGTCAGTTAAATAATATAACTTGAAATAATGATAAATAAATCAATGAATTTAAAACTGACTGTTAAGTGATCTGGGGGGCATTTGCACTAAACCACGTCTGATATTTAGCCCATCATGAAAGGAAGCACAAGTTTATATACCCTTGCAATGCGATGGCACCTACAATTGCGGCAAAAAAAAATATTTATCTGTTCAAAAAGTTATTTACTAAAAGTTAGTAGGGTTTCTTACTTGTATTATATGATACTTCCGAATGGAAACTGCAGAACAGGAACGCACGGTAGGGTGGGTCATTTCGGTCGGGTTGAGGGGGTCGATTGCCTGCGATTCGACCGTGCGCGATAACACCAACGAACGTGTTGGGCCTCTGCTCGTCCGCAAAAAAGGGTACGTTCGCAGTCGGTTTTATTGCTGATTTTTGTTATTTGATACGGTTTTTATTTACATCTGCCCAGGGGGCAAGAAATTAAATGTTTTCATAACGTTGAGTGGTGGGAGGCTTGCTCCTAGTCAAGCCGTTCGCATTCCATATTACAAGCTGGGTGTTATGGAATGGCTATTATTCTGGCTAGAGAGCATTGACATCATTAGATTCTGGAATTGGTGTTCATCATGGACTCCATTCGACGCATCATCCTCTCCTCCAAGTCTTCAAGGGGTGACTGGCCATTGAATTGATTGTTGTCGAAATTTCCAGCCGCGCCTGCCCTAGCAACGTTGGCGTAGCTGTGCTTGAGGTTGCTTGACTGATTGGATGATGAAGTTGTTGCTGATTTAGGCTTAGGGCTAAAGCGTTTCTTGGCTTCGATGTAAATTTTTATTGCTGGTGGCAGCTTTTCATCGCACTTCAACGGATAAACAAGTAAAGTGCCCCTTTCTGTACGCGCATCTGCTGATGCTTGTTGAGATCATCGAATATCTTGTCGAATTCCACCACATATTGTGTCGTTGCTGGCAGTATATTCATCATCGCAACCTCAACTGCCGGAGCGTTCCTACCATTCGTTGAACGGATGGTCCATAAGGTTTTGCTGTTCCCATTTAGTTCCCAGTTAGTTCAGCATCCAAATTTGACGGACTCTTTTATGCGATAGTAATGTTAATGTTGATAGTAATGTTTGTTCGGTGCAACTCTGAGCTCTAGTTCTTGACAGTGGAAATTCAAACATTCACTACAAAAACTTAAACAATGAT